GAAAAATGAATTGGGTGTTAAAAACAATAGAGTTACTAATTCTTAAGATTAACTGCATTAAACGAAAAAGACAAATAAATTAGTCACTATGTTCAATCAATAAAAAATAAAATAAAATAATGTCAAATCAATACTCTGTATGTTGATTAAAATTACCAACTCATTAAAATAATAAATAGGCAACAAATGATTTATTAAAAATGGCATATTAGCTCGTGACATGCCAATATCATGTAAGCCAGAGTCTCAAATTTTATAATAAAAGGAAGTTAGCCAATAAATGTCATTAGTAATTAATTAAAAGTTGTTTATAATTAACATTTATAACCTCCTAATTATAATTACTTTACACATACCTTGTAAAAGTTTTTCATATGTGCAATAATTGGGAATGAATATTTGCTCTAATAATATGTTTTCATACTTTAAGTTAAAATTGCCAAGTCACTTAAGTCATCAAATGTGGCTGATGATGTGTAAAAAAAAATTGCCAAGTAGCTTGCCACATGTCGAATTTCTAGGAGTTTAACTCCCAAATATTATATATAAAGGATATTATGGTCTTTAATGTAAAAAGTATATTGTGTGCCCAATTATACGTAGAGTTAAGTACATTCGACGAATGTTCATTTTGAATGAAAAGAATGTTCATTTTCAACTATTGTGTTCATTCTAAAACATGTTCAGCATAATGTTCATTTTGAAAGAACATAATATTTATCCCGAAACAATATTCATTTTGAAACAAGTGTGTCTTGACGTACCAATAAGAAGATACATCTGGTTGTGCCATATAATTTGCCTCTCCTACGAACAATTTATATATATATATATATAGACACACGGAGTATAATTTTAGTATTTTAAAAATTTGTTGATATTATATTTGTATCGAAATACAGTATATTTTTTTTGTATATCAAAAGTCATTATTTACAAACTTTGACCAAGAAAAGTAAAAAATGAATATTAAATCCAGATGTAGGAAGTATTCGTACGGAGGAGCTGTTTTAGGGTAATGCCACAATTTTGACATCATCATTGACTTAATCATTTGCACATATACGCACAGTCAATAATTATAGGTGAGACACCGACTTTTATAGTGCTCGTATTTGTACCAAGCATGAGATCAATAGTGGTATCAAATTTATGAAATTACCATAACTTTTTTGTGTACAGAGTATAACTATAGATTTTGATAGTTTTTGTGTACATTAACGCATTGTCCTCTTCTGTTTTAACTCTTAACTTTTATTGGTTACATTTTCTAATCTATCTTAGTTTCTTCTAACTTCTTTTAATTTTTTTTAGTTTCTTCAAATTTCTTATTTTCTTTCAACTTCTTTTGATTTCATCAAACTCATTCCATGTTTTACAACTTATTTTAGTTCTTTCCAACTCCTTCAAATATTTCCAATTTTTTTCTAATTTCTTTCAATAATGATTAAAAAATTATTTTTGTATATTTTTTATATTATTACGTACTGTTGTTGTTATGATGATGGTGATTATTACTATTATTATTATTATTATTATTCTTATTTATCTTCGTAGAATAGAAAAGTGATGCAACGTCACGATCTATTAAAAATTAATTTTTTCTCAAAATAAAATTTAGTTAAATAATATATGTTTATATATAATTAGACATATTAATGATTAAAATGTTATATAGGAGACCATGGAAAATTAAACAAGGAAAAGATATGAGGCCAATGAAATATTTATTTGGAACGAATAATGAAAAAAAGTGAATGCTATTATTATTTCTCAACGAAAAAAGGGAAAAAAATATGTTTCTAGGACAAAAGGTACCAAGCTTATTAGGAGCCAATATACGGAGTATATAATTACAAAGTTTTAAGTTGTTCACGCTACTTTTTTAAGAATTACTCCGTATTTAACTAGTAAATATGCATAAACTATTTTTGTAACTATTAGTGACTGTCTTTCACCTTTATTTGAGGTATTTTTTTAGTAATATAGTGATTTAAATTTTAAACCACCTCTATTATTTATGTCTTATCTAAATTAAATCATTCTTTTGCATAAGTTGGAAAAATATAAATAATGTGAACTCACTAATTTATAATACAAAATTAACATTGTTAATCTCAAATTTTTTTTGTTATTATTTTGATACTCCATATATTAAATGCGATGCAGAATGATTATTTTTGTTTAGTCGAGACATCGTTAGATTATTTGTGTCTATTTTTCTTTCAAACTAAAATTTATAAAAAGTATTGATTTAGGCTTTGTTTGGTAACAGCGTTTTCGATTAGCGTTAGCGTTTTGGATAAAATTTTAACGATGCAGATTAATTCTGAAAACGCTAACGCTAAAGGCTACCTTTGGATAGCTTTTTCAAAACGCTAACGCTAATCTCTGACGTTGATGCCAAACGGGGCCTTATTCACTTACTTATTTTTGTCACATGGAATAGTGGCATACAAATTTAAAAACAAAAAATTATATGATCGATACTAGTTTTAAAAAGTAAAAGAAGTCGGAGCGAATATGAGTCGTATACATCCTTTATATATAATATTCCTTTAGAGTTGAATTCTCAGAATTGCGACATTTGGCGTGCTGACTGGATCTTTTTTTGACACTTCATCAGCCACGTCATCAAAATCAACTTTCTCAATATTCCAAACGGGTTGGGCTTCTAGAATTGTGACATGTGGCGTGCTTATTAGACAACTTTTTTAACATATCAGCATTTCATGTTAGCAAGTAATGTTTAAAAAATAGTTAACAAAAAAACTTATTATGCGGAAATTAATTTTCATATTTGTTACACATAAATTTCTCCATATAATCGCGTTTAAAAACTTTTATAGTTTCATTCATTATTGGAAAATATTTAAATTAAATAGTATAGTTTGAAATTTGAAAAAACCACCTATTCAAAAACTATAATCAAAACAAATAAATTTACTTTAAGAACGGATAGATTGGTATGACTAAACGAAATTACATTTGATTTTTTTGCTTTGAATTAATAGTATTTGGAGAGATTTTCTAATTATTTAAAAAAAGAAACAAATATATAAAAGGAAATGGATTTTTATGGGCATGCTTATTTAATAGAGCATTAATTTTATTCCGTATATATCAAAAATTCTAAATCAAATAAAAAGTATGTTCCATTTTAAAATTAGTATTTTCCATTTTAAAATTATTGTTTTCCATGTATAGCTTTGTAAAAATTTACATGTAACAAAAATTATCATTTCCATTTATAACTTTGTAAAATGATCAAGACTTGATAAGTGAGTATTTATGTGTAAGAAATTAAATATTAATTGGTGTTCCTAATCGAAATATTTATGGTATAATATTAATTGTTATAAATGTAATTACTTTTATATTTAATTCTTAAAAAAATGTGCTAATTATTTTGACATCTATGTCAAAATAATATAAGTAAGTAATATTCTTTCTTATTTATTCATTGAACCATCTACATCAATGTAACAAATATTAGTGGATAATAAAAAAATATATTTAAAGTTTTTAGATAAAAAATTATAATATTTATTTTATGATGCTTATTACAAATACAGAAGGGGAGTGATCATCATCGGCTATAAACTCGCATCATCGAACACGTTCGAGAAAGAATATACTTTGCAAACACGTTCCAGTA